TGCTACTGCTACCTTCTCCCTCCACCCACCCTCCCTCCTGACTGGCTTATACAGCATTTTGGCTATAGACATGGGAAAAGCATCAATAAAAGCAACCCCCCCCACAACACAACACAACACAACACAACACAACACAACACAACACAACACAGGCCTTTCTACTAACTTCCTGCTCTAGTCAAGGACTGCAAAACAAGCCAGACAAACAGCAAGTTATGAAAACAAAACCACTTGCGAACATTACACGGCTCTGAAAGGGCCTTTTCAAACCCCGCACCAGGTCCCTTTCCTCCCCGAATGCAGTGCCTGTTCGCCAGCCAGGTCACATACACCGCCTCTCCGAGCGGCAACAATTCCACGTTGTGTAGGGAAGGAATGAAGAGGCAAGGCGCGTGGGCCGAACCCGAGTCCCGATTACCAGCAGCCAACCTGATTAAAAATATAACGGCTTGAAGACGATGCTGGAGGGAGCTCGGGCGTGTTCAGCTCCCCACTCGGCAGCTGCGAGACAGGGGTCACTTGGGCAGCATCCGAAATCACCTCCAGCAAATTTGCTCTGCGCAGGGGAGGGCCTCCAAGGGCAGGAAGAGCCCAGCCACGTTGATCGTGAGCTGCAAAGAGTTACTGCTGGCTCTGGGTCTGCTGTGCAACTTGGCTTTCCCCTCAGAGGAGCCAGACATGTGATTTCAGGAAAGAGGAACTGAGCCAAACCCCTCAGCAGGCTATAAACAGAACAGAAATAGCAGAGAGGGGAAAACTCCACAGCAAGGCTCAGTATTATGACTCCGGGCACGTGTGCCTTGGAGACGAGCCCGCATCTCTCTGCTCCACCTGGAAGTGTTGATTAACGCTCCAGTGCCCACCAACAGATAGCAACAAGGGACTGAGGTGCATTGGAGCAGGTTCCCTGCTGTGGGAAAGCAGCTAATCCTCACACTGCTGAGGGACCCTGCTGCAAAAGAGCTGGGATACCCACCCCCAAAGGGAATCCCATTCTACACTAACAGACCCAACCCTCAGCCAAAATCCACAGCTCAGATAGCAAACCTCAGGATCGAGGCATGGGACTCACATCTCCAACCATGTGCGATGGGCCAAACTCGTTTCCAATGCTGGAAAAACATTCAGATGCAAATCTGACCAGAGAAGCGTGTTCCTGCTCTATGCAATCAGGACTTGTGGTAGAGGTGATATCTTTTATTAGACCAACTCAATTTTTGCAAAAAAGGTTCTTAAAATTATTTATTTATTTTTTGTTGCAAAAATCAAGTTGGTCTAATAAAAGATACCACCTTTACCATGAGTCCCGATTACTTTTGCCTCTAGACCAAGACAGCTACAACCTGGATACTTTCCTGCTCTATGCACACTTGGGCAAGAAACACAATTAACCCTTCTGCAGTTGATCCATGAAAAGTTCTCCAAGCCCTTCAAAACTCTTTGAGGAAGACCAGGAACTGTCCCTATTTTAGAGAAGGGAAACAGAGAGAAAGAAGCAGAGGGTCTGGATTTTCAGAGGTGCTGAAGCACCCACCTCTCTCACTGACATCAGTAGTAGGTCCTCAGCACCTCTGAAGAACAAACACACCACCCTACCCCGGCTCACCTGAGCTGGCACCATCAGGGCTGGGATGAGGACTCTGGAATCCTTTCCCCTGGGCCCTGGATCTAACCAGTAAGACTTGCTAGCAGAAAAGAGTGGAAGATTATGGCTGGGAATCAAAGTATTCATTTAATTTCCTCAAAAAAGACCTACAATGCAGAATTTAAGGTTTTTTTCCCCAAATGTATTTTTGCACAAGTGAAACATGAGCATGCCACAGATCAGCGCTGGCTGATAAACGAACTGCACTGCTTTGCACTCCAATACCAATGTATAAGTCTTGGACTCGCTCTCCTGTTTTGCAAGCCAGCAGGAACTGCAGACACAACACAGTCCGCTCCAAGGGACAAGGCAGCAGGTATCACTCAGCAAAACCTCTCCAGGTCATGCCAGCTGAGACAGCAGACAGACTGGACTGAAGCAGAGAGCCCGAGAAGAATGGGAAGGGAGGTAAAGTCGCAGTGCATGTGTTTTGATACTTTGGGTCACAGCCTTGCCTTGTTAACAGATGCTTTGGAATGATGCTGCTGCTTAGCAAGTAGCCGTTTTGTTCTTGGTTGACATCAGTGTTCATCTCGTCTTGCCGGATGCAAGCCCTTGCACAGCAGGGCACGTTTTTCTATCCTGTGTGCACGCTGTGCCCTGCACGTCAGCTCCCAACACTGGGCAAGACCTTCAAGTGCTACTGGGATACAATTAAATAATCATCATGCTGGAACACAGGAAAGAGAATAAGCCACTCGCAACTGTATGGCAATGAGTCTCTACAACAGGATGCCTTCACCTGCCAGCTGTTTTGGCACCCTGGGAGGCATGGGTGGCCCTCTCTCTAGCTAGGAAATCATTCACAGTGTTCAGTATTAGCACTGCAAATGCTCCCACCCCTTTGGATAACTGTAAGATGTTTGTTGACAAGGCTGCACTGCTCATGCAGCTTTCCTCTGCCTGCCCCCAAGGGCATGGGCCTGCTTTCCAGCATACAGTACAATTCGATTTTCCAACACACATAGCAACAGCCAGCACAGGTGGAACAGACATCTTCCCCCGTTAAGCCTGTCACTACCAAGCATACACATGGGATTTCTGTACAAGGACGTACGGGAGACCTAGGTGCCCACTAACACAGACAAATCGATTAGTCTAGCAATTCTGGTTTGAAATGTTAGTGTGAACTAATGAAAGGTGCCGGGCTGGAGGGGCTGCAGACTGCAGGGCTGCATGCATGCAAAGAAGACAGGCACTGAACAGACAGCAGCAGTCCGCCTTCCCCATAGTCATAAGCCTAAACTATAAACTAACCCACATGCCCAAGCCATAAGCTGAAGGAACCACCTCTAGGTGAGCAACCTCATGGCTCATTACCCCTTGGTCTCAAAGCAGAGCTGCCAACAAAGGTGCCCATCAGCGCCAATTAAGGTGGTTGGGTTTGCAAGTTGGACCTGTGCCAGCTGGGAAGCAGGCCAAGTGCCAGAGTTACTGGTACAGGCTCTTTCACAGCCATCAGATGGCCACACCATTCAGACACTAGTGACCTGTCCCAGATTTGAACCAGAGGCTGGCTCTCCTCCAAGGATGGGCCCATCAGAGTTGGACCTCTGCTCTCCTGGACAGCCACGTCATGGAGTCTCACTCATAAATCTGTCCTGCTCCAGACTGGAAGCAATTCAGGCTTCATCTGCCCCCACGGCTCCTGGAAAGGTGGTTCCAGAACCTCTCTGCTTGGATGATCAAGCACCATCTCATTTCTAGCCTAAATTTATTCATAGCCTGTTTATACCCTTCCAGTTACCTCCCCACTCTGTATTCATAGAGAACAATTGTCTCTCTTCTTAGCCTTTTTTTCCCCCCCCCCCGACTAAACAAGCCAAACTCTTTCTGCCTTCTCTCATAACAGCAGTACGGTTAGCTGGCTGTCACGGGTAACACAAGTCACAGATGTAAGAGTAACTAGCTGAGCCAGTGGCTACTAACTTTACATACACAGGGGTGCTTATCAGAGGGGCCAGCGTCTCCAGTGATCACATTACAATGGATCCTGCAACCTCCCGTTGTTTAGCTTCCCACCCACCCAAAACATCTAGAAAATCTGCCTCTTCCAGAGCTGAGGATGCAGATCAAAGGCTGACGAAGGAGTTAAGAGCCCTTGCCACGATCCCTTTACTTCCGTTCCTGGTGCTTTCCTATTTTGGGAGCTTTTTTTTTTTTTTTTTTTTGCATTGTAACAGGATGCAGAACTTCATTAAATAAATAGGAAAATCATGACTTGCATCTTCCCCCTCTGACAGACAACTGTGTTCACTGGTAGCCACCCAAGCCTGCCAGCCCAGCCCCCTTTCCTATAAATCACTCTGCTCAAGGAAGATAAATGTAGTCAAGCACATTTCAGGTTTTTTGTTGTTTGGTTGTTTGTTTTTTTTTTACTATCTAGACTAAAATGGTACAGCGAACAGAACAAACACAGCAAAACTAAACCAGACGGTCAGTGCTCTTGGGGGGAAACTGAGCACAATTCCAACATTAGGATTGTGCATATTTACCTATCACTAAGACAGAACATCACTTTTTTTACCAACATTCAATAAACTGCTTCTCCTCCACTTGGCAAGGTGCTAAATCCTGTCTCGATTAGCAGAATTTGTAACCACATTTCAGTGGTTACACTAGTAAAGTCCACAGCACAGACAAAAGGCTCCCATTAGTGTAATTTACCCAGATTCAGTAAATGCACAGAGGGTTAGCAACAGCATACAGCTAGTGTGGGGACGTACACAAGATCTGCTCATTAATAGCAAGATATAATTAAACACACATTATTTCAAGTGTGTTCAGGCTTTTCCCCTGCCAGACAAAGTCCAGCCCATACAAGATTCACAGCACCAGCCTCCTCTTCTCTAATTATTCTGAACTGTTAATTCAATCATCATAAGCATTTCAAGGAGTTCAGTAAACTCCACGCCAAATATTCAGAAGACGTAGCAAGCTGTGTTTATTCATTGCCTTTGCTAAAAGGCCCAAGACTACCCATCGTTTCTGGGCCTCACAAATACTATGTAGACTGAGCAAGTCTCAGTTCCTATCATCCTAGCCAACAAAAATCTGGAGTGTTTGTTATATCAGTCAACATTTGCTCTCTGGACCGGGCACACATCAGAATGCTGCCCCTCATTCAGTCTGTTTGCCTTACAAACCCTTTGCATAACTCTAGTTTCCAAGTGTTTATAATTTAGCTGTAAAACTCTGCTCCAGACTGCTATTTTGCCCATCAGGTCTGAATGGGATCAATAAACTACTTTGTAAGTTGTATTTTGGTAGCCAACACCAGGTCGCAGTAACCCATATATTTCTTAACAATTTTCCAGCAGAGAGAGGTATCTGAAGCAGCTGGTTCAAAGCTTACCGTTGGCTGGACATCGGAGCCCAGGAGAAGTGGCACAGATCTTGTAGCATCGAGAAAGCAAACACTTTCACAGATTTTAAGTTACAGGCCTGGGTGTCACAAGAATGAGAACAGTTCAAGGAAGGGGAACGTCCTTATGCATCCACCACCCCACGAGCCTCTGAAGTAAGCATAGAGGAAACCGCGTCCACCGGTTTCCAAAGCACAGGGCAGGGAAGGAAACATGACGGAGTTACAACACCAGTCACAAAATGTACTGAGGCAAACAAACATGGCTATCCAGCTGCAGCTGAACACGTGCCATTACTGGGGCTGGGAGTATGGAGGAAGATGACTGCATCATTCAAACATCCTCTAGCTAGGACCTGGCCACAGAACAGCCTTGCAGCTTCAGTCGGATCTATCCGTGCCCCCGGGCGTGGGCAAGCTGAGGCTGAGCTGCTCCTGCGGAGATAGGCTCTCTCGTCAGGCAGCGCCTAGAGGCAGGAAAGGAGAACATACAACTTACTACTCATAGCAGCTGATAGGGGTTCTCAGTATTTTGGCTGCAGCAACATAACTGTGGTTTTCAAGGAAAACATCTGCGAGTTCTTGTCCCCACAACAAATCCATGCGGTCATGACCTCCGCGTTACGAACCAGCTGACCCGACTGCAGTCCCCAGCGTCCGAGAGCCTCTCCTCACCGGTTGGACACGGGGCGGTGAAGCAGAGACGGCACCTGGAGGGCTGCGGTACAAATACAAAAGATCAGAGTCTCAGACATCAATTCTGAGCGAGGAACTTCTCTGAAGTCAGCGGCGTCGCTCCTGATTACGGCGGGCAGGAGCCAGGCCCACAGATGCCCACATCAGACTAGGCCTTTCCCATCAAAAGGATGGATAAAACACAACCGCTACAGAGCACTTTCTGTCCCTGCCGGCATCAAGCGCCAGCTATAATTCTGCATGCCCTTTTCTATTTCTAGCGCACAGCGATTTCCATTCGGATCGGACCAAAAGCAAAGAGAGGAGTACACGTAGGCAGGGGCAACGAGGCAAGCACGAACCAGCAAAGTACGGCAGAACTGAGGAGGTGGGACGGCCTCTCCCACCCCCCGTAGTTGACACTTCCATGTCGCAGCCCCACAGTTTGGCGGCGATCCGCCGAAGAGCCACGGAGAAGCCATCGTGGCGGGGCGCCGCACCCAGCCCTGCACAGGCCCCGAGGTGCTGCAGGCAGAGGCAGCAACACGGCCCCCTTCCCGAGAGGAGACATGCTCGCAGGCACTGACCCCTGCTGCCCCCCCTTCCCTGGGGCCAGCCCAGCACCCACGCAGCACCAGTCCCACCAGCACCCCTCGGCAGGGCACTGGGAGCAGCAGGGAGGGGAGGACCCCTGGCACCCCTTCCCCAGCCCCGCAGGCTCAGGACAAGGAGGGAGGGAGGAGGCCATGGGACACACCTGGGCAGCTGTGCCAGGGATAGGAGGGGAGAGCACCTCTGGGCAGCTGTGCCAGAAGGCAGGGGCATCTCTGGGCAGCTGTGCCAGAAGGCGGGGGCACTCCTGGGCAGCTGTGCCGGGGATGGGGGGGGGGGGCACCTCTGGGCAGCTGTGCCGGGGATGGGAGGGGGGGGCACCTCTGGGCAGCTGTGCCAGAAGGGGGGGGCATCTCTGGGCAGCTGTGCCGGGGATGGG